CTCTTACATTGTGGACATTTTTCTCTCAGCACCAGCGTGTACAAAATGATTTCCTCTTAAAAATACATTTGATATGTTTGTTATCCTTTAGTGAAATAATCTTATTCCCTCCCATGTTTAACACAGCAGTATGTACAAGCAGACAGGAATCGCTCCTTACCCCTCTCAGGCTTTCCACTATGGTGCTCGACACATGGGCCCCAGTCACACAGCGCCTGCTGGTCCAGGCCCAGCTCCGTCTCCAGCTCCCATGCCGCACCCAGGGGTCGATAGTGCCCATGGGCCCCCTCGAGCTCCAGCCCCATATGGACTGATTTCTGACCTGCCACTGCCTGTTCCTACTGGAGACTCACAGGTACACTGATAATGGATACTGCACACAAGTAGGACGGTAACACCATGACGGACCATGATGAGCTGTACGGTTTTAAAGAAGTGAAGTAAATATATACATGAAGTATTAGCTTGTAAACTGCTTTTCATGAATTAACCCAGTGGAGCTTTCACCAGCTGTGGTGCTTTGAAAAGAAAATGTCAAATGAACCATTTACAGTTTACAAACTATCAGGCTCACAAACAGATGTACAATGTCTCAGACATTGACACAGATAATTCAGGAAGGAAAGAGGCTGGTTTACAGTTAAATTAGTTATTGTTGCCTGTAACTGATTGATTGGGTTCAGATAAATCTTGACATAGAGGTAAATTCTTTAAAGAATGTGACTTGCTCATAATACCGCTGTCTGTTTCAGGCTGGACTGAACGGACACATGTACAAGATGCCTGAGATTCCTGAGTCTTTTCCTGAACTCTGTGACATGAAGTAAAGTATTCCAAAATATCATCAACTTATCTTTTATTATCAATCCAGTGTTTACGCAGGTTATATACATGTATGTTTTAGATAAGAACACATTCTTTTGTACCCATAATTAATGCCTTTGTACTCTTGTTTTCTTACCTCCTGCTGTACATCTGCCTACATCCACCACCTTCTGCTGTGCCCCTTCCTAGTCTGACCCAGTTGTCAGAAATGTCTGAAAATGAGGATGTCTTACTGGAGTTCTTTGTGAGTTTGCCACAGCTCAAACAGGTCACCAGTGATAAAGAAGAGCTTGTCACCAATATAGTGGACATGGCTAGTAAGTTCCTCTTCTGCCCCTGGACTGAAGGTCTTGATTGGTCAATCATGAAAGAGATGTTTAAATTTAGTTGATTTGTGCGTTTGTCATTTACAGAGAAAAACCTTCAAATGGAGCCACAGCTGGAAGGAAAAAGACAAGAAATGCTCTATAAGGTCAGATATTGCTTCTGATCTTTTGTTCTCTCTCTCTCAAACACATTCATGCAATTGTCTAGCAGCTTATGATGCGTGTTTCTGTCTGTTGACAGTACGAACAGCTGACTCAGATGAAGTCGGCCTTTGAGACGAGGATGCAGAGACAGCATGAACTCAGTGAGGTAAGAGGCTCCTCGCACTGGTTTGATTGATAATAGGTTTTGAGTGCAGATGCATTTTCTGGGTTACGTCCTGGTTTTGGGTTTTATTTTTACCATTTTAATGACTCAAAACTGAACATTTAGGTTGTTCTTTGAATTGTAGTAGCCCAAACAAATCAAGTTTTAGTCCTTTTAAGAGTACATAAAGAAAAAGCTGAAGATCGGCTTCAGTCCAGACTGAACTAGCGACCATGTGTCAAAATCTGTCTCCTACTATGCATAAGTTTTGAGACTCCTTTTCTGTTGTTAGATAGGCTCATGCTCTCCATGCCAGTTAACCATACTACTGTTGAAGAAAGAAAGAAGTCTGAGACCACGTTACTTTGTCAAAAAAAAAAAAAAAAAAAAAAACTAAGAGGAGAAAATATTGAAGAAACCAACCCAAACATGCTTGAACATGTCTTTCAACACTGCTAAGCATTTCTGTCCCTGTTTTGTTACTTGTGTTTTGTCCCCCACCAGAGTTGCAGCCTTAGTACTCTACAGGCTCGGTTAAAAGTTGCAGCCCACCAGGCTGAAGAGGAGTCTGAGGAGACGGCTGAAAACTTTCTGGAGGGACGCACAGACATCGACGAATTCCTGAGCAGCTTCATGGAGAAGAGAACGGTGAGAAACCAGAAGTGCAATATTTGTGCAAAAATCATCATGGTATAGTGTCTTTTTTGAGTCTGAATGTAATCAGAAGTGTAGTATGTGATATTTTAAGGAGTATTAACTGTTTGTTTGTTATTCCACAGCTTTGCCACAGCAGAAGGGCCAAAGAAGAAAAGTTGCAACAGTCCATCAACACACATGGACCGTTTCCTACCAGCCACTAGAACACAAGGTACACCACACACATCACCAGGTTACAGTCACTAAACATAATGAACTGTAACACCCAGACAGTCATTTGTCTCTTTGCGGAGGGAAGCTGGTGGTTCTCAGCTGACTGTTTCACAACAGGCCACCCTCGTGGTTTTGTTCCCTCCTTTCATTTTTATCAGAGAAAAACAGTTTGTCACGGTCATCCTTTCATTCTGCTTATTACGTCTTACTTTTGGTCCTCAGGTTTGGTGTTTTCTCAGCCAACTGCTGCCAATTAAAAAGGATAAAGACATTTGAGGGGATGAAAAGCACACTGAGTCAACAATGGGCACTTTGGAGAAATAGGAAGATGCTGACAGCAATGGTGATGGTGGGTTAAAAAAAAAAAAAAGCCCACTGGCCCGATCTGCGCTAAATAAAACAGTTGAAGTTGGATGGAGAAGCTGTCGAGTCACCACAAGAGGCCAAAACTGGGAGAATGAGTGACACATGCCTAGCTTGCACATGCTGTTTGTTCTGTTTTGACTTGACAGTGATGACAAAGTGTTTTGTTTGACATCGCTCAATAACAGCAGCACCTGCATCCAATCAGAGTGATTGGTGATGTGAACACATTTGGAAGAAAGTACAAATTGTTTAGGACAGTATTCCCAATCTTACACTTTACCATGCAGTGAGCAAGTAAGTGTCACTATGAAATAATTGTTAAAATGCTAATCTTGGTGTCTGTACTACTCTGAGATCATTATCAAGTCCTTGCTTTGTAATCGTATAAAGATCCCAGTCTTACTGGACAGACAGACAGAGCTACTTTCACGCGGCAGATCTCCTGTTTACATTGGAAAGGTTGTTCTAGACATTTACATCACACTCAGCACTGGCATTGTCACTTTAACAAGTCAAGAGAAGCTCTCCAACAAAAACGAAGCTGAGGACGGAGCAGTGTTAAAATCTGACTTTGGACAGTGGTTGGTCCTTTATCAAGTGATGGGTTACCCCTTCGTATGTCTTGAACGCAACCTCAATATCAGTGTGTTTGCACAAACATTAATAATTCGATTATACTTGACAACACAATCATCTGATTCTCATTACATTGTTAACACCATAAGCGAGTACTGTACGGCAAAATCAGAGTCGACGTAATCCAAATAACAGACCTGGTTACTGTTCAGTTCTTTTGAATATCTGTATTAGGTTTGTGGACGTCTAGTAACATGTTTTCTGGAGGTTGACACAAAGTATTCAGACAATGACCAGTTTAACAAACCAGTGATGTAAACTGAGGTAACATCAGAGTACTGTAAACCACGTTAACAGTAACAAATTATTACCCTTACTCTGTGCTTTTTACATGAATCGAGTTATTTGTGTACATGTAAACATACTGATCACAGTGAGCAACATTATGGTAATCCGGACATTTTCTGGCCCCATTTGAACTTGAAACTTTTGATGAAGAGCCTCAGAAGGTTTGGGATAATGTTGGGGAATATTAGGTTAAATGCTGCAGTAAAACTCGATGACATTGGATACTGTATTTAAATAATGTTAATAATAGGCTATATTGTAATCAAAGACTCAGACACACCTTGTATTATATGTTCTTATTTAATTTGTTAGAGTAATAAAGCATTTAGAATAAATCTTGTTTGCTTTACTTGCTGTAACTCTGGATGCATTCTTCATTATAACACACTTCACAGCCCGTTCTCATTCCCAGGTCGTCAAATACAGACACGAGCAGTGTTCAGTTGCTGCTAGATTCTACTAAATCCTGCACACTGAACCAACAAATAGAGGATGTATTGTTGCCTCGAGTTACACCGTTTCTCAGCATCAATAGTCACTTTTTAAAAAGTGAATTTACATAGATTACAATGACTGTTAAAGTCATATTCAGTTGAGTTAATAAGCAGTGTATTATTACAATGAATAGTTAAAAGTTAAAACATACAGTAAAGTTAAAAATGACTATGCCTCTAACAGGAGTGCCCAAGTATCTGCTGTAAATCCATTCAATCTGTTCAACACAAGCTTGTGTGAGGTTTAATAGAGACAGGAGGTGTAGAAGCACACAATGCACAAAGGGCTGATGGGAAAATACTCATACAGGCACTTTTCACACTGCATATTCTTGCCCCGCTAAGTGCAATGTGGAAAGCCCTCTACTCAGCAGGTTGTATTGTGGTTAAAACAAAAAAAAAAAAGCCAGGCCAACACAACAGAAGCCACTAAGCTTGACCTCATCAACCTAACTAACAACTGGATGCTGTTAACAAAACATTATCTCTAGCCAATATAAAAGTTTTAACGCTTTATCAAGAGCCCCACAGTTCTGTCACCACTCCTTATTCACATCCACCCATCAGCAGCAGATCATCAGATTTAATGGTGTGAGGTTTATATTGTAATGAGTATAAGCATTGGTGAAGTGACACTCACAGTACCAGTGTGTTGTTCAGTGTTTGGAGAGAAGTTGTCTTTACAGTGTGGCATGGTGCACACGTGACCTCCCCTCCGGAGCAGCAGGTGGCGGTAAATCACCACACGAGCTACAGCTACCGGAAATCGACAAGGAGGAGGAGAAGAGGACGCATAAGGAGGAAGAGGAGGAGAACAACACCGGAGGCGCGCACCGGCGGAGAGAAGCTGCTAAGTTTTTACACAACTTATTTAAAACGTAAGAAGCTCGTTTCCATTAATTATTAAACTTTGACGGCCGTAAAACTAAACCGCAAAGAGGTCGACCGTTAACCGTTGGCGCAGGTTACCAGGCAACGGTTGGCTGTGTTACGGTTTGCTAAGTTTTCGATATACAAAGTAAACAGATTCAACTTAAGTTGTCCACTAATGTATTGACCCATGCTCTTCACTATGGTCTTTATCTCCATGGAAACACTTCAGTGTTTGGTGGGTAACTTTAGGCCCTTTGTCTGTGGCTGTGTGCAGTGAGTGACGATGTGATTGTTGGGGTTTAACAGTGCTTTTACTTTAACAGCCATTGTTCTCCATATATTGTAGGTTGGAGACTGTATAAGCATCTGTGCTTCTGTGTGTGTAGATCAGTCCAGAAACATGACACGACAGATGGGAGACAGCCATCGAAGGTTCCTGCAGACCATGATGGCAAATGGCATCGTTGATGAACAAGGGGCAAAGTCACTGTACCAGTATTGTTGTGAAACCCACCACAGTGAGTCATTTTATATTCGTTACTGATGTTATTAATCCAGAATAACTCAAGAGTTTATCAGGAGACAGGGTTCGTATAGCAAGAGGAGAATTATGTCTCTAAACAAAAGCAAAAGTATTTAGATTATTTTCACCTTTGTAGTTCATGTGAATGTTTCCATCATCATTTCCAATAACTATACTTTCTTTGTCTTTGTTTGCAGCACAGCACGCCCCTGACAAACTGGATGATTTCATTGACACCATCAACTCAAGGCTGCAGCCCATGTTCATGCAGATAAGAAAGGGGATGTCTGAAGACACTGGTCACCAGTACTATGCCTTGGTTAGTGGGTGTTTACCCTCATCAGTATCTCAAAGTCACAAGATTTTGTTTGTAGAGTGGAAGGTAGCAAGAACCTGTATGCTGACAGTACACAGTTATATGGACGTGAAGCACAACTCTGTCTCAAAAGAAGCTTGTATTCGGAAGCATAAGTCCAACATTCACAAAGACTCAACTTAATCAAGGAAAACGAATAATGGTCTTTCAGATTTGTCAATTTATTATAAAGTATTTGACCAATTAAAATATTTAGATCTAAAAATACATATCCAAGTCTGTGGTTGTTGAGCTCATCATTTTTACACAAATAGCTGCTGTATTTTGGCTGTTGGATCTGTTTGAGAACCACATTATGTTGTGATAGTGTGATAGAATAGTTGCAAATTGATAAACAGATTGATAAACCTATAATGTCTGAAGAAAATTCAGCCACTTGAAGACATTGTTAACCTCTGTTTCACTTTAATCCTGTCCAGGTAAACATGGCTGAGACTGACGTCACAAGGATGTCATCAGATTATTCTGACAATGAGCTGGAGCTGTTCGTGAAAACAGTGAGTTAACTTCAGGACTTCCTGCAGGTCTTCCTGCAGGAAGTCCTGCAAAGCAACATTTATAACAGCATAGCTATTGCACGTTTTCAATTTTATACAAAGGTGGGGCTCTAAGTGAGCTGAAAAATAGAAAGCCCTGTACATTATAATGCAATCCAGGACAAGAGTTTAATAATAAAATAATACGTCTGTGTGTATATCAGACGACACATCGTACCACCACTCAATGTATAACTTCACTGTAAGAAGAAAAAGTAGCGAGCAGACAGAGCTGCTGCTAGGAGAACCTTCGGTCAGATGCACAAATTTACTACTATTAACATCCATAACATGCACAAGAAAACAATTTTCTATTGTATTTTAGTTCTAAAATACCTATTTCTGGTAATGGGTCATGTGTCAGCAGTAATCAGTGTACTTCTTGAAAACCTGCTTTTCCCCACTAGAAAGTGTGTCATGACTAACTGGAGATGTTCTGATTCAGATGGACCTGATTGTGGGCTCTGAGAACGGTAAGGCCTCCTCCACTGACATTCTGAACAGCGTTGACAGCCTGACCACCAAAAAGTTGAAGAAGAGTGAGACGGAGCACCTCTTGAACAGACTCGTGCATGACAAATGGCTGAATGAGGTAAAATACTTTCAAAACTAATTTCAACTCATGGTCACTTTTTGTTATGAGAGACACTTTCATGAAGCAAGTTCAGATTATTCAGGCTATCTGTGCTACCGGCTGCTGACTAGAGCTTCATATTTACATTACAGATGTGTAAGTGGTATTTACAATCTCCTCTAACTCTCAGCAGAAAGGGGATAAGAGTAATTCCCAACATTCCCAGTTAACAGTGGTGATGGTGATTATCAACTTGTGTTAACTATGAATTGTCTAAATAAACCTTGCACAGTGGGTTGTGCACATTCGCCTTTAAGAGGTGCAATGTGTAACAAAACCAATCACATTTAACAACAACAGTTCAAATGTGTGTTTAATGGTGGATGAAAATAGAACTGAAGCATGCAAATGTTTTGTGATTTAGTGAGGTGAAATTAAAATGTACGTAGCTTTCTCAGGTTTGTTTCTAAACACAGCCTTTGCTCGATCAAATCATGGAGAAGTAAAACACATCAACACGATCAATCATTCTGCATTAATCTAGAACATCGTAGTACATTTTCAAAGCAATTTAAATCACAGTACCAGTTCTTGCTCCCACTTTGTTGCTTTATTTAACTGATTTCTGTTCATTGATTCAGAAACGGGGTGAATACACTTTGTCCATCAGATGTATCATTGAGATGGAACCGTTTATCCGTGCAATGTATCAGGACCAGGTCAAAGTGTGCCACATCTGTCACAACATCGCGTTCCAGGTATATGTTAATATTTCTCTGTTGTGCATTTTCATTGTCGCCCTGTGATAAATAACCAGTTCTGTCATCTAGAAACTTTTGGGTACTAATTTCATTAAATCACTACTTTAAATTAGAAATGCTGTGCCTCACTGATGAGTTCTATATTTTATTTGAAGGTACTACTATAGTACCAACTATAGTTACATGATTATATTTGTAATTCTTAATTATCCATAGTTCTGTAATTGAAAGGCATACTATAAAAGTCTGAAATCAGATGTTTTCATTAAATAAATAAAATAAAATAATTGTACTATTTTAAGCTTTCTGGAGATGAGCATCTTGAGCTACAAAAGTAATTATAGTGTGAAGAAATCAACTCACACAGAATTGCTCTTGAGTAACTACATTAATATAAATGACCAGGAATTCACCTTTTTAATGATTTAATGTGTTTCTGCAGTGCAAACAGATACAGCACTTCTTTCTGTCAGCTTCAGTTTTTCCTTCTGTGTCATGTTGAGTTGTTGCAGCTGCGTTGCCTTTGGATTGACATTGGTTACCTTTGTAGATGGTGGATTTATTTCTATGTTCTCAATGATATTTCTCACTGTATTAATCTGATCTGATTTTTCAGTGTCAAATCTGCGAGAATCCCACATGTGGCATAAAAATACACAACCCATGTGTGGCCAGATACTTTAAAGGAAGAGCAGAGCCGCGGTGTCCAGCATGTGATGACTTTTGGCCACATGAAATCCCTGGTATGTATTGTTTATTTACAGTAATTACAGTTATACACATTTACCCCTCATCCTAAGAACATCTTTAACATACTTTAACTACCAATTGGGACCCCTGAGGACCCCAAGGATAAACTATTATAAGAAACAACCATCATTACAAAATGTTCACTTATTTCTTCCTCAAAATGTTATTATTTATGTAATTATTGTTATCTGAAACATAAACAAAAACATTTATTATATTGGCTTAAAAGAAACAAGACAGAGAACATGAGGAAATCTGTGCCTGCTGCATCTGTTTCCTTTAAAATGATCCCTACCCCCTGATACTTGTGTGACACTTAAAATTAGGACCCATGGCACACATGAACTCAGTAAATTGACCCATCTATTAAAACTGCAGAGGTGGAATTGGGTGCTTTTGACTAGTGTCCTCCAGGACCCCATTACACTGGTATTTTAAAAAAGGACAAAACAGAAAACGATGATTTGAAGTCATGAGGAGCAAATTGATATAAGTAATGAAAAATTGTAATTGTAAAATAAAGCACCTGTGAGATATGACAGAAAGTATACCTCTGGGGTCTGCGGGTAGCTCAGTCAGTAGCATGAGGTTTAACATCTGACCGCTCTGGCTCAAATAAGTTCCTGCTTTTATACACCTAAACAATGCTTTGTTGCCAGGATGCTTTGCTTTTCAAAAATCACATTTTGTTCTTTTATTTTAATTCAGAATTCTGTGGTACAATATACTGATTTACTACTTGAATTGTCTAAATTGTTTATATAAGATAAAGGCATAATAGCTTTGGATGTATTACAATGAATATAATGAAAATGAATGGCAATTGACTTGAACAAGAAAACACTGTTTGCTTGTATGTTTCATATATTTTTTGTTGTGTCCATTACAGAAGTCAGACGACCCCACTCTCAGTCCAGAAGATGAGGACTTCAGCATCAAATGTGTTTGTTTGTTTGTTAAAATTGTTCAGTATTTTAAACATAGCTTTGTGTTAATATAAATGTCTTTATGGTTATTTTTACAACAATAAATATGAATATGTTTCTATGAAATGTCTGTTTTCTTTACACAAAATTATCATAAAAAAACAAAACAATTCTTGTTCTTATTTTGTTCACAATATATCGCCATCGGACTGTTTGTTTCCTTCCAGATTGTTCCTTTCTAAATGCCGTGTTGCTGCTGAATGCTTACATGTATAATTTGCATGTTACCTTGATAAACCTGTTTTTAAACGGAATAGCGGACAACAATGACGATGACATACCAACTTAAGACAATGCTTCACATTTACATGTGAGGTAAAGCAGCGCTCACTATTAGAGCTATAATCATTATTCTAGAGAAAGATATGTTTCAGTCTTTGCTGCTAAATTCCAAACTGTCTTCTGTTCTCCTCTGATGACAGTATTTGTCACAAAGTCCTCAACAACATAAGGAACATATCACCTGTCAGGAGCTTACCAGATCATTAAAAGTATACAGTTGCAGTATAGTGACTGAAAGATTGTATGTATGCAAAAGTAAATCTTGTTTAGTAAAGTTATTATTACACCAGGGCTGCAAATAACTAATACTACTGACTAACTATTTTCATTTTCATTGAATAGTCTAGTAATAAAATGCAAGAAAAATATGCTATCTGTTGTTATTTGTCACTGTAATGCAAAACAAAGAACGTCAGACAATTCTCACATTTAAGAGGCTATTGCTTTATAAATGATAATTATTTAACCAATCATACATACAGTCTGATTTTTGCTACACTATCACTTTCTTGCAAGGTGAAAAAGGTGACTTTAAAGTATATTAGCCTGCGAGGAGTCCTGCTTTAGTATCTTCAGGGTCACAATGAACTTGATAGCTTTTCTGAACCACGGATAAAAAAAAGCATATATGAGTGGGTTCAAACAAGAATTAAAGTACAACAGCCAGGACACAATGGCCCACGACGAAGCATTGTTTGACATGTCCTGTCCTGCCAGAGAGGGGTAGTAATACGGACAGAAAGTCATCAAAAACACCATTATGACAATACCAAGAGTTCTGGCTGCTTTTTTCTCAGATTTCTTTGCAGTGACTGTAACTGTACCGGCTGCAACAACTGTAATATGAGACCGCATTGCACGAGCCTGAGACACCGCCACAATAAACACTCTCATGTACAGAGCGAGGATGACCGAGCAGGGGCCGATAAACGTGAACACAAGGTCGACGGTTCCAGAGATGTTGTTAATCACCACCACACACTCCCCATAGCAGGAGTTGTGTCTGTCTGACTGCCTGAGGTGGTCCTTTAAAATGAGCCCGTTGTAGAGAATCGAGCATGCCCAGCACAGACACACAGACACCTCGACTCTGCTGCGAGTAATTTTGTTGGAGTACTGCAGAGGATGACAAATAGCTACATAGCGGTCGATCGATATGAGCACCATGTTCCCCACAGAGGCTGAGGTGAGGGTGAAGCCGATAATGTAAGACAGACCGCACATGAGGTCGCCCAGCAGCCAGCAGGTTTCTATGAACCGCACCATCTCCACCGGCATCACCAGCAGCCCCACGAGCAGGTCTGAGGTGGCCAGGGAGAGCAGGAGCAGGTTGGTGGGGGTGTGAAGCTGTCTGAAGTGGGAGATGGAGATGATGACCAGCAGGTTGAGAGCTACCGTGAGCACAGCGATGCAGGAGAGTAGTGTGTGAAGGAGGACGGCCTCAGAGTGAGGACGCATTAAACCCCTGCAGGATGAGTTTGGGAGCTGAGGGTAGCAGAGATCGGCTCCCTCCAGGCCGTCCATCATCCAACACCGAGGGTAGGTGATGACCTGAACCTGCTGAGCTCCAGCAGCTCTCTGCTTGTACAAGACATAGTGCAGCTCACTTATCTCCTCTTCAACTCCCCAGCCATCGTCTTCATTGTCCGCCTATTCCTTATTTCTCCTCATCTCTGCTCTTCTTCACCGCTCTCTTGCTTATTCCACCCTCCCTCCCCCCTTTCAATCCCACTGTTACATGATGCAACTGATGGGAAACTTTTCTCTGAGATGTAAAGCTTTGGTGAAACTTTTGTTGAAGTCACGTAAAAACCTCCTTGAAGCCTTGAGGGGATCAGTGTCTGCTATCTGCACATCAACAGATATGAATTACAGACAGAGACAGCAGTGGTTAACTTCTTTGTAAGGACATATGACTCTCAGGCACCCATTTGAAACTGCTGTTGTGTGCAAAAAGATGTGCAAGCACAAAACCATTGTGGTAAAACTGAGGGCTATTCTGGAAATAATGAGTCCCATTGCGCTTTGTGATGGTAGTATACCCAGGTTTGGTCTCTGAACTCTGGATTTCTGGCCTTTAAAAGTGCTGCATTTTACATTTTCCCTGTTATTCACGTATGCCCACACTCAGATGGTGACTAAGCTATCATACAAGGTGTTGGTCTTAGCTTCAGGAGCAGTTCAGTGTTCACTGTTTTGCTCCACTACACTAAAGCGTGGACAGGACTGAACTGACAACCCTGCAATCAATGGATGACCCATTCTACCTCCCAAGCCACAGTTAATGGAGCAGCTTGGCTCTACTTGCTCTTTTTACACTGGATTTGATAAATGTCAACCAATTCAACCTACCTTTCCTTCAGGTAGTTGGGAGTCCTGGATACCTCATGGACTGGGTCCTGCATCCTCATTCTGTGTGCACTAAAACAGGTTGGATAAAGGTGGTTTATACTACCGCTATCACCACTTAAGTTTTGCTGACCTTACCTCAGCTGCAAGGGTGTCTTAAATTCACTCGAAAGCAGCCCGAACGTCTCTCCTTTGTGTGTCAAGGATGCTGCATTGGACAGAAGAAGAGATGGGGAGGTTGACCACTCAGTAGTCTACATTAGGTGGAGCAGCATTACAACACCGTACTGATGGACTGTTTTCAGTATTTCCATGGCCCATGTACAAAGATGTAGAGGAAGTGGTGCTCTACTTGTTGATTAGTATTGTGTTTTTGCAGTTTATGTATCTGGTGCAGCAGAGGTGGTCAAGTCACAGCTGCAAGTGAATAGTAATAAGGGCGGGTATCTGTTTGCAGAGATGGTGTGACCTCAGGACCATGATGACTTGTACAAAGATGTCAGTCCAGAAATACAGTGACCAAACAGAAATAGCACAGTTTACTGCTCTGCTGGTTGTTTGGTTAGGATGTGGGCTTCAGTTTGGGTTATAGTATTTTCCCATCACCCCGCTGTGTTTGCTTCTGCAGCTGTGTGTACAAGCTTTTTCCACAGAAGACATTTCTACGTGCTTGTCACGGTGGGAACAGCCCAGGTTTAAATAATAACATTAATGATGGCTGAATGCCATTCAGCAGCTTCAGTTTCAGGGTCCTGGTATTGTGCATGATGGCTCACTGTCTGCGACACTTTAACTGAGACACTGTAAATGTTATCAGCCCAGTCAAAATGTCTGTTCATGAAAAAGGCAGATTGAGTTGATTTAATAGAGCAGAAGAAATATTAGAATATGTTAATACTCCCATCAGTGTAAATACATCTGTTTATACTTTATATGTATGACCTTTAACCATTAATTTGTGTCACCTATCTTTACTGTAATGGTGATATACAGAAATATGCAGTCTCTCTAAAACAGTTGCCATGAAAATAAATTTCAGTTTGTAGTATATGTGCCTTTAAGCTGGTGTATATGAATCTAAGTTGTAGTGGTGCAAACCTTTACTTGGCTCTGAGGAATCATCTTGTTCTGAGTTATTAACTTTATTCTGACACACTTTCACCTCCCTTTCAGACCGTTTCTGAGCCCCTTATTATTCGTATTTAATCATTGGATTGCAGGAGGTTGAATTTACTAATGTATCTTTGTGAGTTTCCCTTTAATTTGACATTTGAATTATTTTCTGCTCAGCTGTAGCTCCTTACTTTTCACAAACAAGTGCATTTGTGTTTTCTGCCCCAGCTGGGGTCATGGCTCACATGTGTAAAGGGGATATGGTTGCATCATGTGTTGATGTTAAAGTGTGCTTATTAACACCTTCGACTAGAATTCAGTTGTGGTTTAACCTGTTATTGACATTATTACAAGGTGTGAACGTGTCCCTCTGGTTTGTTTGTTCTATGTTGAATCTAATGTATCCTCTGAGGTACTGAAGAGTTTGATGAGTTTGTTGTTCCTAAATAATAAACTTAACTCATTCTACACAGTGTTTTTCAATATTAATTTAAAAAGTGTCAGATTTTATTACTACCATTTTGTATGTTTTTACCACACTACATTATTCTAATGAATGTAATTACTGCCTGTTTTGCAGGATTAGGTTTTGCATCAACAATCTCTATTAATGGATAATTGAATACATATTTTATTTGACAAGTGAATATGTCATCCTTTTGTCTAGTGTTCTTTTACTCAGCTCATTATTTGATTAAAGGCTTCTTCTTTCATTGCTGTCATGAGTGGCTTTTTGTTGTTCAGAGCTTAGCGTACCTGTCCCAGAACTGAAAGTACACATATACCTCAAATTTAAGGAATCAAAACTGAGCCATAGATTACACTTTTGCTGAATTTTTCTTGGCATTTTCTTTTGGTTACATTCAACAACATAGAAAGCAGGCTTTATGACCTTCTTTATGTAGACCATCTTAAGATGTCTACATTTATTGTGAGTTTCCTGCTTTCAAAAAGAAGATTCATCCTGGTTTCAGAAGCACTATTGAAATGTTTTCCTGTCCTCGACTCTGTTAAACCTTTTAATGAGATCTGGGTTTAAAATCAGTGAGCCTCATTTGACAATACTTTCCTATTTATCAGAACTGTTTATACTCTTCCAGACTTTGCACATCTTCACGACAACCCAGTAAACACTTGCTGAAATGACTGGTCCTAGTTGAACAGTACAATCTGTCTCTATATGAACCGTAGTACATAATAACTTCATTTGAAATGAATAGGTAATTCATTATTACCTCATATGTCAATTTTATCCCTGATGTAGGCAATGACTCTTTATCAGATTGGTAGCAATGGCTGCATCCTTTGTTAATAATTTCATTATTTAACAACTTGTCTTATATCTTAGTTTAGATTAAGAGATGTTTTGCTGAGACATAATTTATTAAATGCATTTATTATTAAAAAATAATGTCCTTATCACTTATATCTGAATCTTAAACAAAACATTAACTCATAATTGACATCTTCTAATTTATAGGCTATGTTAGAATTCAAAATCATTTACTCCCTGCAACTGTTCTTGTTGTAACATTCAACATTTATTTATGTTAATTTTAACATCAATAGACTATTCATCATCATTGAATGTCCAATTGTCTAATAAATGCAAAAAATGCATCAGATCCCTGATGTGCTGCTGCCATCTGTTGATGATGAATAACAACTGATCCACAGTCGCACTGTGAATGTGAAACTTTGAGCTCTGTCGCAGCTCATCAGTCCAGTAACCAAACTGCAGTGACAGAAAGCCTCTCTGCTGTTGGCCTCAGCCTCTACTGGAGAGGATGTTTATCCAATCAGACACTAGATGGCGCTGTTGGTAAAGCAGTTCACACTCATTTAAAATACTTCAGTAATGACTTATGACACTCTTCGTCAAAAAGAGACCCAGTTTATAAACTTGCATGAAAAAGACATTCTGCTGTATGAACACCGGTTTATGTTTGATACTTTATATTACTTTACCCAGACTATCCCTAACAATGTATTGTACTGAGAGGCCTGTCCTGGTTACATTTACAAGAATACAGTCAGTAACTGCTGCTCACATTATGTGGTGAATTACAAAATGCACAGCAGACAGAAAACCAATCAGTTATTAGATTTATTAGGTGAAAATATATTGTTATATAAAACATACTTGAAAAATGTATCCCAAATTAATGGATTCTCTGATAAAGTACAATGACTCTTTTTGTAGTGATTTTGTTAAGAAAATAAAAAAAATTAATAATACTGTAATGACTCACTAATAGACAATCCATATTATTTCCCACTTTACATACATAAATATTTTGAAATCTATTTATTACCATACATCTTCTCTATATTTCAGGCATTTCACTGATGTTGTTACTGATATTCAAATACATTTTGTGTGCTATAAAATAAGCCCTTATTCCCAATCCCAAATATAAGAGAAACAACAGCCACTGTGGCCTTGGTTTCTAATATGAGTGTGATCATACTGTGTGAGTGGATGCTGAGAAGGAAACAGAACCAAACTGGGACAGATGGGATATTTTTAGAGAGCGTGGATGGGTTAAATTCCTCAGTGGGAAGAGGGCGATGTTGTTCAGAATATGAGTTTTCAGTTGAGGAGGGAAGACACGGACAGTCGTTGCTCCGTTGAGCCAGAGAGAGAGAAGAGAAGAAATGATTGAAGGTCGGAGGGCAGAGGATAGCTGAGCGACCAGTACAGGAGCTACTGTGTGAAGGAGCTACAGTGTCTTATGTATCCCTATATCAAGGTTGGAGACATTGTGCCTTAAGTTGCCTTCATTTACTGTACGATTCACTGGCCATTACAGATGTGGCCTGAATGAAGGTTTGAGTTTAACTATAGTATGTGTTTGTTTTCTGTACAGTCTCTAAGTCTTTCCTGTTAAATGAAGTGAGAATCTTTAAAGACAAGGAGCAGTGGGCATTGTGATAAGACTGAGATTACAATCAGTAAATTCGTGAATCGGCCTGCTCTCAAAGGAAATCTGTAATTATTTGTAAAAAAAATGTATGTTTAAGAGCTGATGAGGAGCAGACATGTGGACTTATTAAAATAAAGTAATGACCAAAACTTCACCTCAAACTTAACTTAACAACATCAAACTAAATTAAATTTGTATTTAAGTCAATCATACAAAATTACCAATTAGTAATTATATTAAAATGCATGGTCTTCATACATTAGGGTTAATGGCTGTGAGATAACATTGGAGACACAAGGAAGCTCTGTGTTTCTATTGTTAATGGTGAGTACTATCGTCTGTTCGTCCTTTTACTTTAACCACATTGTCTCTGCTCTGCCTCAAATAAAACGACACAAAAGCTTTGAATCCAAAGTGCTGCTGAGCGAGAGAGAAGTTCAGTAGGAGCTTACTCTGTTTATATTGTGTTTTCTGTAGGTTATAATATAAAACCTGATCTTATGATCAAAGGAATCCAGTTCAATAATTTCACCAGTTACAAAAAGATACAAAACATTTGTATTTGTTTTATTTTTGGTTTTGCAGACCTGATTCTTCTTTTCACTTCATATGTTGGTCTCTCCCTCGACCGTCAAATGTCAAAACTCACTTTGCCAATTTGAACTAATTTACTACAAAATACAAAGTAGTTTTGGTGCTCTTGGGTAGCTGTAGCAGATTTTTTCCTTTATAGTACTTCCTAGGAAAACTTTTTAGACCTCTAAAACTAGGAAGTTACTAAAAGGTCCTTAAACTACAATTAATGACCATTTGACTCCAATGAACTGTTTTTTTAAATGTCTCTTTAAGGAACAAATATGACAAATACATTTGTTCCCCATTTAAAATATAAAAAAGAATAATATAATATAATTTAAAAAAAACAAACAAATAAAAAATACATTTCACAAGCTGTGGCAACCTGTACAATCAGTGTATTAATATAAAGAACTGATTAATGAGTGGACTAATCGTGAAGTAAGAATATATATTTAAAATACCAGTTTTGAATTTGTGAAATTTTCAAATCATCAGAAAGTGACAAAGGTTTATAAACATACAGATCTGTACACATACACAAACAAACATGCCCACACATTAACACGGCTGGTTTCACCCCGTTTTTCTTCCATACACCGTGGCCTAATTGATTCTCATTTTAATTATGTTGACCCAGACTCCGTCTCTCTTCTTCACTGACAACAAAACCAGCGCAGGCCGGCAGTCTGCCTCTCACACTGTGAGGATGACACCTCTGTCTCCTTACAGAGGAACGAGTGGAGGATCCACTTTGAAGTCACTCCCCCGCAAAGGAAAGGTCAAAATAATAAATGTAGGCCCAATTGATGGGTTGGCAGGGGGGCGCGGGGGGTTTCAGTGCTGATTTTTGGACGAGTGCTCCCCTAAAGGCATAATGAATTCATACAGTCAGCCACGGCCAAAGAGGAAAACAGCATGGGTCCTCTTTCCATGAAAAGGTTGATCTAAATCTGCAGACGAGCCTGGCTCCTTCTTCCCACTCATTCTCCAACACATTAGACTCTGCTCTCTCTCTCTCTTTCTCTCTCAAACATACGCTTGTTTCACACACACACACACACACACACACACACACACACACACACACACACACACGTATGAGTAAATACACTCAAAAGTATCTCTGTCTTTCTCTTTGACACACACCTCTGCATATGCATCACCTTCACTGAGAGAGTTGAACCGCATCACCATGGATCAAAAACCCCTCAGTAAGCTGCTCCACCTAACTCTTCCTCACAGCAAGACGCCTTTGATTCAAGAGTCAATAACCCAGAAATACACAAATGCTTGAATATGTCTTTGAAGATTCCTCAGGTCATCTGGGTCACAGGATATCTGTTAGTAGGTCAAAAGCAACTGAGCTACACCGAGTCTGCTGGCCTTTGACCTTCTGTCATTACAAACTCAAACTTTATTTTAAATTGTAGTGAAATTATTTTTTAAATAGTAAAAACATCAATGTAAAAATACTCTTTATGCTACTTAGGAGAAAGTACAAATGTATTATCAGGAAATTTACTTGAAGTATCAAGAGTAAAAGTGCTTATTATGCAGAATGTATTGATGCATGAGGAGACTTTTTAACTATTGGAAAGAGGAAATGTCATCTTATTTATATGTTAATCATATGTTTTGTATGTTAAATCTTATTCTGTAAAGTACCCAGGCAACACTTTGCTGTTCAGTCCCCCTGTAACATTTCTAAGCAGTATGTGATAATAATGTATAACACACTATAAAGTAGTTGTAAGCAGATATAAGTGTTTATTACGGTATTATTAACTATTATTAACTCTTATTAAATATAAAATGTTTTTTAATATGAGAAGATTAGTTGTTTACACGTGCTGTACATCAATACACACTTTAAAATGTACTTACATCTGCTCACAAATACATTATAGTGAGTTATAAACCATTTATTAAATGTTTACTGATTATAAATGCCCAAAGAGGAGGAGTGTTACTGTAGCCTGCAGTCAAATAAATGTAGGCTAGTGTAGTAAAAACCAGAAAAGGTCCCTCTGTAGTGGAGTAGAAGTAAGAATAAATGGAAATATTCCAGTTGAGTTGGCTAGAAGTAGGCTACCTCAAAATTACACTTGAGTAAATGTACTTTAGTTACTTTCCCCCACTGTCATTATCTATTATTAAGTCATATAAGGTTTCTCATTATAATGCCTTACAGGATCCTTTTTTTCATCCCACTGGCGGCGATGGCCTTCCATAAACAGGCCTGGTGCTGTCCTACAGTGTGGAAAATGTTATTTCTAACTTACACACACACATTAAGAGAAAATCTAAGGGAAACACTGAGAAATCTAGATGATTAACTCAGTTTGAACTTTACAAAATGTAAGACAATTATGAACAAACCCCAAAATAATTCTAAACACAGAATAAGTTGTTGCGTTTGCCAGTATATTTTTAGTTTGGGTAGACCATACATGATCCATTTGCATAATTAGATATGGCTCACTACTACTAACCTACAATTTATGTTCTTCGTTTCAGTTGCCTCCTTGGCTTTCTGTTTTATCGATCCTATCAGTCTTGTGTGTCCATGTTTTAAATGCAAAGCGCGCCTAAATTCTTTGCGGCTGCTATAACTGTGTGGTTTATAATTCAGACTCCGTGACAAAACCAGACCCCAAGGCCCTGTTTTATTTTTTATTTTTTTTACCACACTGATGACAAACACTCAGATAAACCGAGATATGATTATTTTCCACAGACGAAACGCAATTTCCTGATCAGCCACAATCCCTGTGAGGGAGCCGCGTTAAGATGCGCATTCACACTGAGCTGCTGCCAGTTCTGCTCCGGAGGACGGAGCCGCTCCAGGCTCAATTACATGCGCAGTCCTGCCGTGAATCACACATCACCACGGCAACCGGCGTTCACACCGAGCCCCCGTCAGCAGCATCAGTGGGGTCCGAGCCCATCCACAGGAGAGCACCGAAAAACCACAGTAAGTTTATATCCTCTCTTCTACGTTCACATTTCTGAGAGTATCCGTTCATTTGTGCATTAGACAGATGTGTGTTTGCGGGTACAGAGAGCCTGGACCGCCGCGGATCCACACAGGAGGGATATTTCTTCCCGTCATCAAGTGATTCAGTGTAGGTAATTCATTTATGCGCTTTAGGGGGAATGAATGGACCAGCATCACGTCCGTATTCGCAGGTTATCATATGGGACTGTATGTCTCTGAATTCCGTTGTAATTTAAATTAAACATTACATAAGGCTACAATTAATACGCATCTATTGATTGTCCCATGTACGTTAATTAAACCCGTAACTCATTAAAAACAAGCCACGTTATGTAGAAAATGTACAGTGTGAGATTTAGGATCACACGAGTTAAACGGCGTCCGATGGCTATAATGATACTTAATTCAGATCCATAATTAAACAGAAATGAGTTGTTTTCTCTCAGTCTCATGTGTGGCTGTAGTATCTCTGCTCTCTGGTCACACAGCCTGTATATCCTGTCGCAGCTGTCCTCAATGCAGCAAGTTAGGATATGCATGAGCAGTGAACCCTGAACAACTTGAGGGACATTAAACAGCCCACTCTTACCTATGTCTTCACCTTAGAAAGCTGCGTCTTCCCTGTCCTGCTAGTGGATAAATATGTTAATCTGTGATGATGAATTAAACTGTACAATCCTGCCATCATTCTTTTTGCAGAGGGTAAAAATGTTAAAAGATGTCATGTGCAGCTCTTATGGAGCTGCTGGATGTGTTGCCTGCCAGAGTGTGGGAACACTGAGTGTTTGACAGCAACAACCGGCTCATTTGTTAATCACAGATTTCTGGATGATTCATCGTACCCACACTTCACTCCAACTGTGGGGAGGAAAAATGGTGGTCAGCACAGATGACCACTTTAGCCACCCACTCACCGCTGTAGCATACTGTAATATTCTTCTCCTATATCCTTTTTTTTTTTCACTTGACAAAAGCTGCTTCAAATTTAGAAAAACATAGGATTCTGCCTCAGAAGAAACATATTATAAAAAATATATAAAAACATATTTTACAGGTGATTATTTTGCACCAGTATTGATTGGTTTGTGGTCCTGATCTGCTGTTAAAAAAGACCAAAGGTCCAGAATTTGTTTGGTTTTTACATTTTTTTCAAATGTTTAATGAGAGCAGCCACTTAATGACAGTAGGTACATACTTTAGAGTGTCATTTATTCACAGTGGATGTGTCTGGCGGCTGTAGTTAATGATCCTTTATTTTCATTATCAAAAACACATTTCCTGTGCATCAGGGATATCTCCTGCAGCATAAACACTGTGGCTCTTTGCCTCCTGCTGTGTATCATCATTGTGAGTCACTGGCGTCAGCGGGGCCCGTGGGGTCCTTGGCTGAGGGAAGGTGTTGTGTTGCACTGTGTGAATGAGATAAGTGGATCCTCACCTCTTCCCTCCACATTTAGATGATCATTTGATCGAGGAGAGAAAATATAATCCTTATCAGAGCAGAGAGGTGTTTGGCGCCGCGTTGGTGGCGCGTTAGATTTACACGTCGATTACAAACACTAAAGATAAGAGCTGTGAGGAAGAGATGGGGCTGAGATATACAAGATTAATCATACACAGTAGTTATGAAACATGTTTACTCGAGACTGTTGGGTTGGATAAACAGAAGGAAAGAAGGCTTCACTGTGAGGATGGTTGGAAAAACAGAAGCCTGAGGTTATTTAATTATGCCCCCAATTTAAGTCCCATAATTATAATTAGACTTACCATAACCTCATAGCATAATTTAATTATTAAAAGAATAGTTGGACTGAAACACATTTGGGGAACACACTTATTCACATTCAAGCTGAGAGTTAGATGAGAAGATTAATATCATTCTCATATTTGTATATTACGCTACTGCGAGAAGTCAGTTAGCTTAGCTTAGCTTAGCTTAGCATAAAGACTGGAAACAGGGGGGGACAGCTAGCCTGGCTCTGTCCAAATCTAACAAAAAACACATACCAGCACCTCGAAAACCCACTAAGTTTAGTTACCCATACAGAAACCTGAAGTGTAAGAATCATATCATGTGGTTTTACGGGGGTTGCGTGCCCGACTATGTCTTGGCTCTGAGTAGTTGCCTGGCAACGAGCAGGAAGGAAGTTACTGCTCCCAGCCAAGAAATAATCTGACACATAACCTAACCAACTGTAAAACACTGAGTAGTTGTTTCACTTTGGTTTTTATAAGGATACACATTTACTCACAGATTATGTTTTCAAATGATGTATTTATAGTCTTTTATTTGATCTGACAAGCTAACAAAGTTAGCAACAAAGGTTGTACTTTAGCACCGCGGTTCTTTGAGCTAAATGCTAACCTCAACATGCTAACATACTCTCAATGACAATGCTAACATGCTGATGTTTAGCAGGTAAAATGTTTACCCTGTTCACCATCTTAGTAGTGTTAACATGCTCACATTTGCTAATTAGCACTGAAACTGAGGCTGATGGGCATGTCATTCATTTTTCAGGTACTTACCAAAATATTGGACAAATATTAATTTTTACGCGATGATGGTGACCTGATGATCAACAAAGTTATTACAGTTCATGGGGGAAATTAATTGCTGTTCGAGATTCCACTAAAAGAACATAAATGCCTACCTCATGGTGGCGCTAGAGTAAAAGTCAGGGGATTGAAGGTCATTAGGATTCATCCTCTGGGCACCATACCATGTCCTGTTTTTCCTTATTACACTGTCATCTTCTCCACCTTCTTTGGTATCCTGGCCGGAGCTACAAGCAGCGCTGTCACATTTGGTTACAAAGCACAGAGTCTGAGTCAGTCTGACCCGAGTTTTGTGTCTCTGCTCTCCAGATCTGTCCGGGCATTTTCAGGCAGCTGAGCAGCCATGGTGAAGCTGGGCAGCAATCTGTCTGATAAGCTGGAGAAGCAGCCCTCTGCGGACGACGGCTTTGATAACATCCCCCTCATTACACCCCTGGAGGTCAGCCAGCTCCAGCAGCCGTTCGCAGACAAGGTAAGTACGGCCTATTAGGATTGTTTGTGTGTCTGTTTATGTGCCTGCCAACTTATGTTTATTTTTCTCTAAAATTCTGCCGACCACAACAAACCATGCATTACAGCATTAGAGATATATCCACCAGATTACGAATGGCTGCAGAACACATTAATGTGGGTGTACTTATGCATAAGCCCCAACACTGAGACTGTTGTATTTACACCCCTTACCTGCTGTCCCAGGTTAAAACCTTGGCATTAGCCCACGCAATGCAAGCACCTCTTTGAATGCATAATGCAAGAAGAAAGCCCACACAATCATATTGTGGTTGGATGATGCACTCAGCAGCACAGGATGTTCCACAGATGTTGCTGAAATATTAACATAAAACACACTTTGTGGCTCCCAAATGTCTTTTTAAGGCATCAATTAAAACTGGCAGCTTTTGCAAATGATGCTTGTGTATTTTTAGTAATGCAAAATAGTATTTTCAGTGGATAAAGGAATACTGAACCTGTGCTGAACACTGGGGACAACCTCATCCTTCAACCAAACAAATAATGGCTAACTTCTCCAATGATGGGTGCATTGTTTCTGCTGCAGGTCATTGTGAAGACGTCAACACAATATCAGCTGCAGCAGAAGAAGAAGAACAAACTGTATGTGCCCGGTATCAAGAAGCTGAATATCAACTTCTACAGTGATGTTTCAGATAAAGCTAAGGTACAACAACAGCCTGATGTCTGGAAATCGGCAAACGTTTTCATGAAGTCTGGTCATTTTCTATATTTTTCTTATTGTCAACAAATCCTGTGAAAAGACAAAGAGCCATAGAACTCACCTGTAGTCATGCCTTGTTGTAGTTTGAAATATTGTCAACATATATTGTTAATAGTTTTGTATTATGGGAAAACATTAGAAATGCTCCTTTTCGTCTCATCTGGCCGGAGGGGTGTTTCGGTGCCTGTGTTTGATTGACAGCAGCTGGCAGACTTCCAGAGTGCCGGTGTTACACTGTAGGGAATAAAGTAAACAAATCTCAACCGTAACCATAGCTACATGTGATGGGCAGACAGCATGTTGTTTGTGTTGAAGAGCGAGAACCACACCAGCATATAACCGGACTCAAGTGACAAATAGGTACCTTTAGATGTTGTTTAATGTGCTGCAGCTGAGTAGCTAATTAGCTATCTAGCCTGCAGTGCATTCTTCCCCAGTGAATGTCTGTTTGAACGGTGCAGGACAAGACATGTGTTCATGTTTGTAAGTTAGATAAGGAGGAGACTTTAGTAGGAAAGATATGGGTTGTTTTTCAGTCTGTTGCTCCTGTGTTGTGTAGTGGGCTGCTGTCTGACTCAGTGTTACATCTTCCTTTATGCAAGACTTGATTGAACGCAATGCAGTGATGATGCAAATGAAATTTAACTTCAGTTGAAAACATCGAGCCAAACCATGCTGATCATATGCTCCTTCATATACAAATACTCACAAGAGCACCAAATGTGTATTAATCCACTGATGAAAATAGTCCTCAATAATCCCTCTATTCTCCTGTTTGAATACTACAGTGCCCAGCTCTTAGGAAATTATTTAGCCTTTTCTTAAATGAAATGTTTTATTTGTTACCTGTTTTTTAATGTTTACTTCATCAGTAGCAACCAATGGGTTGGGGCCACAGACCGGGAGGAAAGTCAGAAAGTACTGAGCGAACTTGTTGACAATAACAAAAATATATTGTCAGGCTTATCCTTTAAGAACTGATTAAATTTTTTGCTGAAGTGCTTTATAAATGTGTGTGTGTCTGTGTGTGTGTTACTCAGATCACAGGTCTCATCCTCATCACTTTGGCCTTTCTGACCAGCCTGCTCCTCCTGCTCATGTACAAAGCCATGTGGTATGATCAACTTACCTGCCCAGAGGGTTTCATCCTTAAGGTAGGCAGTACACACACATGCATGCACACATGCACACATACACACATACACACACACACACACACACACACACACACACACACACACACACACACACACACACACACACACACAGATGTATAAACATAGATTTATATGATTTATTTACAAGAAAACCTAAATATCTTGGCCACTTTCTCCCTTAATATAGCAAAGACCGGCAGAAGCAGCTCATCAGAGTCTTGTTCTTGGATATCACAGACGTCTTATTGCATTACCCAGGCCAAAGTAGTCTGTGCGACACCCACTCAGAGGGTACTTACACAGTCTACAATGCAGCTGGTGCTTTGTTTCTCGACACACCCTCACATCACTCACTTCAGGAGGATTCTCTGAAAACTGGAGCTGGAAACCCAAACTCATTATCTCCCAACAACACCTTGGAGGCATCGCGTAGGGAACCAGTGCTGCTACGCATGTTAGTTAAAGAGCCTGTCTCGCAGAAGAAAATGAGAGAGTGGGAGAGACAGAGGGAAAGGGAGGGAGAGAGCTTGCTTTCTGGTCAGGCAGAGATTGGGACGCCCGCCTGTGAATCGGAGGGGTCTTTAATTAGGGCTGAGCGTGACTAAACTGTGATTAAAGGCTTAACAGTGAGGGGGGAAGCAAGGAAGGGAAGGGGGTAGGGGGGCAGGGGGACCTTCCGGCAAGGCTTTTGAAGTTTTTGCCGGTTACAGTTGCTTTCAGCATTTTTTCCTGCTAATGCGTTGTTGGAGACATAAAAAGAGGAGCGAGGATGGAGGAGGAGGGAGGCGTAGTCACTGCTGTGCTTTTGAGAGGTTCGACTTCTCTCTTCGAGGGAAGGTCAGGTAGTGGATCCTCCGACGGGAAACACTTGCAGGGTCATCACAAACTCAGTGGGCTCTCACCAAAACATAACATTAACAGGATGCACGTTCAGTTTGTTTGATTTAATTCAGCCGCGCTGTCTCGAACACAGCTTGACTCTCCTCACAGACAAGTCAGAGTGAGTTTCAAGATGTTGCAAAAGGATGCTTTCTCCTTAAGTAAAGGCTCGTCCTTAATGCACTTCTCTGGTCACAGCTGAGCCTGGCAACCACGGTGTATTGGTACTGTAAATCTTTAACTATGTTTGTGCGTTAGGATGAAGAAAATCTTTTTATAGGAGGCATTTTAACTTCCTTAACCTGATTTGTAGAAATATTTGCGGCGCATGTTAGTGAAAGAAAAACTCTCTTTGTACTGTCCCTCTTCCATTTCTCTCCCACTGCTGCAGAGTGAATGTTCTCACCTTGTTGTTTATTCTTCTCTGTGGATTGTGGTCCCTGATTTTCTGTGATGTGTCCAAACCCTGCACTTTCCTCATTCTTCGCCTTGAAAAACTGCAGTTTGACAGAATAATCTCAACTCAAGGTCAATTCACTTTAAAGTTGACAATGAGCTAATTACATCTGCTGATGAATACTGTGAGGTGTGGTGAAAACCCCAGAAAAAATGCTAGTACAGTCGATGGACCTTGAGTTAGGACTCTTTTTTCTAATCTTTTATTTGTTGTGCACCACGTGTCCAACCCTGTATAATTCCCATGATTTTGTCAGTTAAAGTAACAGTTGTTGTCTGTTGTCGCTGTACACGGTAGTCTTGTTGTGATGTAATTACACATTTACTTGACCAACCATGATTGTCCACACTGCTAGCGCCAGCTGAAAGTACTGCGATTCATCATTCCTGAGCAGGGCGGAAATTTAGATTCAGGAACGTTTCACTACAGGGACAATCTCTACAACCTTTGCAAACCTTTGTTAATAAACAAACGTTATTAATATTTGTCAGATCAAATGAATAAACATTAGGATCGTTGCTGTGTCAGAATAAGACGATTTAAGGGTTGTAATCTTCTCTTGTGGGGCTACCAGGTGGGAACACTCCACTGTAGCAAACATGTTTTGACTCATTTTAGTGCCCGACATTAGCAACCTTGCATATAGCAATTCATTTGCAATGTCATTTGGCAAATGACAACACTGGTTTAGGATTGGTAAGATGTGGCAAAATAATAAATGACTAAATAAAGTCAAATTCATCGGTTCATCATCTCTTTTCATTGACAACCTTTCAGTGTTTGCTGTCCTCACTCATCATTGCCAAGAGGCAAATCCAGTCACAACAGCCCTGCACAGATCACTGATAGGCAGTTTCCCAAGTAACAGTCAAGGGACATTATTAAAGATTTACTAATTGGCATAAACAAACATTCCCAGTGTGGTCAGTTTATTTTTTATTGTGAATTAGAAAATGGTCAGCCACAAGTCGCCCTATTGCAGGCCAAAAAAGTTGAGTATGACTGCTCTACCAGTGACATGACTTTTCCAGTCCAATAAGATACAGCAGTCACACTCATCTATAATTAATTGACCCATCAGCAAATACAGTAAAATAAAAACAAGATGAAATGTTAAGAAGACTTCACCCTATGGGATCATTTCCAGCGGTTTCACCTTTCTTCAACAGAGACTCAATAAATAAATGCATCCTTTCAGTTACATCAATCATTATTAATAGAAATGATATGTCATATTGTAGCACTTTTTCACCTTAATGGAAACAAAGATATTTTTGTCTTTCTGTTGTAACAGCAGAAGCACTGCACCCCGGCAGCTCTGGAGATGTATTACACAGAGCAGCAGCAGCAGCAGCAGCAGCAGCAGCAGGAGCCAGGCCTCCACGGCGGCACCAACACTGGGCTGTATGCCGCCCTGAGCCACCTCAACCAGGTCCAGAGGACTGGGCCTGAGCTGCCACCACCCTGGTTACCAGTCATCAGCGCCCTGAAGGAAGCTGAACTGGCCAAACAAAGCAGTGAGCCGCTGAAAGGAGTGCTTGAGGGAGAGGAGTGAAGGGGCTGATGGAAATGCAGGTGTTAAGAGGAGAAAGTGATGATGATGAGGTAGCGTAGGTTTATTTTTTGACTGTGCGTGTGTTGAGGATTTTCTTTCTCCCTTCCCTCATATCCATTAAACCACTTACTGGTGCTTCAAAACCTTAAAGGTGTCTGAATATCTACTGAAAAATTCAATCAGCAAAGTAAAACAGTAAAACAGTTTGCTCAACTTCAATCCAGTTATTATGTTAATATTTAATCCAAACTAATACCCAACTGCAGTGGTGGTGTGTGCGTGTGCGTGTGCGTGTGCGTGTGCGTGTGCGTGCGTGTGTGTGTGTGTGTGGTGAGTTGTTGAGGTTAGAGGCAGGAATGTTATTAAAGTGTTGGAGAATGTGCCTGATTTTTACAGTGTTACTGAGTCAAGTTTAAGCCATCTGCATTCTGTGTGTGTATACACACATGTAAATAATGTACGCTGTAAATGCTCTCATGCATATGAGCATGTGCTGTATGCGTTTTTGCATTCATGTGCACTGTGTGTGTGTGTGTGTGTGTGTGTGTGTGTGGTGTGTGTGTGTGTGTGTGTGTGTGTGTGTGCATACATTTGTGTACTAGTCTGAGAAAGTTGGAGGTGAGAGGAATGTGAGAGCGAAGTGAAGATAACAAGTTTTTAATGAGATAACTGTGTTTCTCCTCATCACTCTGTCTTATCTCGCTGTCTGTTCATTTAGTTTTAGAGGAGAACATATGAAATCATCAGTGCACGTGCTCACAGGTTAACAGGTTAACCATTAAGACAAGGAACCATAATTGACCATTTTAATTTTGGCTCAAATTAGTTGGTTCCTCATCTTATTATCTCAAGACTGTAAATTGCAGTTCTGTGTCCTCGATTAAACCACAGACTCTCACAGCGGCTTTGGAAAGTATCAAAAATCTCAAACTGTAATCTCTGAAAAATTGAATTAAAAAAATCTCTGAAACTGAAAAGTTTTTTTCATTATGGGTTATTGTGTGTAGAATTAATTGGCAAAAAAATTAATTAAATCTATTATGAATTTAATCTATAACACAATAGTGTGCAGGAAGAAACAGGCCACTGTACAGTTCTTCATTTGAATACTATGTTACATTATAATGTGAGCTACTTACTGTAATTATAGATAAAACTTTTAAAGAGCTTTTAAATTATAACTACAAAGAATCTTAATTTCAATAAAACTGTATGTGAACTGATTGTAAAAACTGAGTTTTGTTACTAAATGTTGTTTTTGCCTCATGTTGCTGTAAGTATTGTGTAATGCGCCTGTAAATGAACATGTACAGGGTTAACTTATGATGATCCGTATATGAATGTATGAAGTAGCTGCTCTATTCATGCAGTAGATGAAGTTAGTGCTTATAATCTACTACCTAAAAGCTTCTATTGTCTTCACATGTTTCTATTTATTTAATTAACAGTAAAAGTTATTGAACAGTATTTATGTGTATATTATTTGTTGTTCTTTCAATGCTAAAGTTGGGTTTGTTAAGTATGAAGAGTTCTTTTCCAATTCATTTAACTTTTTTTTCTTTAAAAATGGATGAACAAATATTGTTTTTCTTAAACTGTCATTAGAAAATTACCCACAATCCTCCAAAACCTCCCAATCTTATATTTTGTCAAAATGATCTGCTATCACTCATTTTGAGCTACCTTTTCTCTTTGTCTTTCTCGAAAACATCACTTGTGGAGATCTTATTTTGGAACAAAACTCTTCATGTGAGTAGGATGAAGGTGAGATCACAGCACAGCTTGTTCCTTTGGGTCCAATGTGTCAAACATTTACATCAGACACCCATCTGCTCTGATGTCGCAGGTCCAACAGAAATAAATGACTGAAGTGTTGAGTTCTCTCATTCACAACTGTTGATGTAGATTCATTGCTTCGAATGACCTGAACTAAAGTATTGGTGGTTAACAGAAGACAGTCATCACATGTTTTAGCCTACAGGAAACAAACTGATCTTTATAGTTTGTGAGCTCATCAAACGTCTTTCTATGTCAACTCTGTGAAGTAACTAACTTGTCAGATAGATACAGTACAAGTACATTTACTCAAGTACTTCAGTACAATTCTGAGTTACTTTTATTTCATGCTACTTTCTACATTTGAAGTAAATTAATACCACGCAGTTACACACTTACATTTACACAGTGATGGGAGACGCACTCATGTCCTTTACTTAAGTAAAAATAACAATATCACACTTTGAAAGTAATCCATTACAATTGAATGTCCTGAGTTCACATCTAACTTGAGTAAAGTACACAAAATGTACTTCAATGACCAAATGTAAATTGCTTGTATTATTATATCTGACCATATTTTCATAAAAGCTTTTACATGTAAGTAGTATTTTAATGTTGTAGATAAGTTTGGTTGGACATGATATTTTATTATACTTTTTAATCTGTAAAGTAGAGTGAATACGCTCAAAGTGGAACACTTTCTGATATAATTCATTTTAAATAATGATCCAAATGTCTTAGCCCCTCATATGATACTATTTTAAATAGCTTACAAGCTCTACTGTCCTATACAGAATCAAAAAGACAGAAACATTAAACACTATATGGATGACTCAAACACACATTGACCCCAAATTACATTTTTCCAGGTGTAATACTGTCAAACTGGGACACTTAACACATTTGATACATAAATAATTACATACATAAAGATTAAATTATGAATTTGTAAATGATAAATTATAATTCATCATTACATCCCATAACAAGATATATAAGAATTACAAACTATACGTTAGTTACAGAATACAATATTTCCCAGTAAAATGTAGTGGTGAAATATCCTATAAAGTAACTTTAATACTCCAGTAAAGCACATAATTGTACCTAATCACTGTACTTGAGTAAATGTAGTTAATGTTATTTTCCATCACTGCATTTATTCAACAGCTATGTACATTGTGATAATTGTACTTTACCTATTAAGATAGAGATTACAACATAAAATATGATTTGTTGCTGTATTCAGTTACCTAACGTTATATAAAGTAAATGCTGCTTACACATCAAAGCAGCAATAATAAAAATACGTCACTTGAAAACAGACCATGAGAGGGAAAAATGATGAAATGATAAGAGATCTCTGTGAACTGGGTTTCTAAAATCCTCATGAACTGCAATTCCGCTGCTGAGCTGCACAAAACTAATAACTCTTCTTTAATCACCTGAACTTCTTTTTACCTTGATTTTTTTCTTCACCCTTCAAATAAAGTGATATGTCATACTGAGAAGTTACTCATCATACTCCATTACTTCATGATTAGGTTATTATTATGTAGCCTAAATGCTTTCTGCCACCACAAGCAAAATAAAGCATCATCCTACAAAACGTACAAGCTGCTGCATTTCTTACTGGTGATTCACAATTATTGACTTGAAAACAAACCAGGGACATCAGGATTCATCAGGATTCATTATCAGTTACTTTCTGATTTTCCCTCAATCGCTGTACAGTACAGAAAAAGTGTTAAGTGTCCCCATATAACAATGACAGGGGCAGCTCTGTATAATGATAACATTTACTTTTGATACTTAAAGCACATTTTCTTATAAAACTTGCAAACTTTATTATGGGGATTTTGAATGCCTGTCTTTTATTTGTAATGGAGTATTTTTATTAGTAATTTTATTAGTAATAGTAATTTTAGTATCTATTACTGCTACTACTCAAGTGAAGGATTTAGATATATCATTCCTACTCTTTGAGCTACACAAGGCAGAAAGAATTCAATACAAAGGGTTTTTCGAAATATTTGCTATTCAAGGTTAACAGCAGAAGCTGAATGTACAGCTGCTGTTACACTCTGTTGCTCAAAGATGATCAGTATGCATAGAATTCAAAATATGATTCCTTTCTCTTCAAACTCTAGTTTAGCAATTCAAAGCCAAGCCACATCCTCTCTCTCTCTCTGTTGGGTTCACTGCTGTGAGCCTGTCTGCATCTCATTTACACTCACATATTTTCACACCATCGCTCCAAACTCAGGGATGTGTGGCTTGACGTGTGTGTGTGTGTGTGTGTGTGTGTGAGTTGCCTTGTTAGAAGTGTGTGTGTGTGTGTGTGTGTGTGTGTGTGTGTGTGTGACTATGAAATCATTAACTTACAGTTATGTGTGTGTTTGCTAAAGTTTTCGTGTGAGTGTCTTCATGTTTTTCACGCGTGCGATCTTTGTGCTTCTGTGTCTCTTAGTGAGTGTGTTTATGCCTTGATGTGTGTGTGTGTGTGGTGTGTGTGTGTGTGCGTGTGTGGGTGTGTGTCTGTGTGTGTCTGTGTCTGTGTGTGTGTGTGTGTGTGTGTGGGTGTGTGTGGGTGTGTGTGTGTGTGTGTGTGTGAGCCCATGCTTAGCTTGTTAATTAAATCTACATTACACCCTGTTTAGCCTTTAGGCTTTATTTTCTCCCCTCTGTTACTGGGTGACATACTTTAGGCCCAAGGCATGGAACTAAATAAAGTGCTAAAAAATATTTATTAGGGCATTTACAGATCCCATACCTGGTCAAGGCATGGCATGTTGTGCCAAAAAGGCTTAGAATCAGGGCCCGGGGAAAATTACATAAAATCAGCCGAGTAGTCATGTAAAAGCCGCCAAGCCCCATTTTCCTGCTTTATAGCATCAACAGATCTGAACAGTAAAATAGCAGGTTGGCTTTTTAATTTGTCCTGACCGTTCAGAGTCCCTCCTTTCTCCAGCATTCCCCCTGAAGACCGTGAGGAAGGGCCAAGAGTCATTAGCCGTTAACATCCCACTAGAATCGAAATCCTCCGAGCCCTGATGTCACTCAAATGTTGAAGAGGAGGGAGGAAGTAAGCTTTGTGGTGATCTATGTGCCTGATTTTGATGTTTTCTTTTGATACAGTGTGTACTAACAATTTGAAATTAATTTCAATTAAATAAAAATACTTTGTGGTAATGTAAGTACTGTCGTTTCCTGGTGTATCTGAAGCTGAGGCAGCATTTCAACAAAATGTAACAAGATGGTAGATCTGGATTGAGGAGAGAAGAAGGAGATGAAAACAAAGGGGAAGGTGTGAAGGTGTGAAAGTGAATGTCCTTCATGTTTACTCCACCTTAAAGGTCCAGTGTGCAACATTCATCAGGATCTATTGGCAGAAATGCAACATCCAAAGGGTTTCATTCATGTATAAAACTGAAATTAAGAATTGTTGTGTTTTCGTTACCTAAGTAGAATGAGCTGTTTTTATCTACAGAGGGCTCGGGTCCTAAACAACTAAGTATGAAATAAAAATGATCAGGAAAACAAATCTCTGATGCAATAATCATAGGAAATAATCTGCTCAAAATACATCCATTGCTCGTTTTAAAAAAACTTCCTGCAGTTTTTGCGTCATTGTACAGTTTATCAGTTGTTCTGTTGTGTTTTTGTTGGGTATTAAATATAATATGAAATATCCATAAAATGTGTCACTTAGTCAGGGGTCAGAAATATACATGGGCAGAAAACAAGACACTGTCATTTTTTGGAGTGACTTTACAGAAAACATTATTCACTGGTCATTATTAATAACCTGTTAGCTGAGGTAGTGATAACTGGTAGTTTTAGACAATTATTTGCATTTGATCTGAACCTTTGATACACTTTTTTCTTTTGTTTTTGCATCAGGGGTGAAACCAAGAAGAATAAAGCTCATATTGATTTTATTTGCATTGACTTTGTGTGTCATTTTCATATTCTGCACTTGTCACTTCTTCTTATCATGTTTTCTTTGACATCTTTCCTGCTCCGATTTGTCTTTTTGTTTCCATTTAATCCAATTTCAGATTATCTATACGTATATATTTATACATATACATATATAAATAAATAAATATATATATAAATCTATATAAACATATTTGATTGTTGTTCATATAAATAACACAAATGTTTTAATCTCACTGAGTAAAATGTAAGACATATTTTAATGATAGAACAATATGGCAGATATTAGGTGAATCCTTGTTTCTGCTCAGAGTATACATGTGATCAGTCATGTGATCACTTGAGAGTTGCTTTTAAATGTTATTCCCACACTTAACTCGAAAGTATATCAAAAAAATGTGTCTTATTCTTAACAATGAACCTTTTTCACCCCTAAATTATCTCTTTAGAACCTTTTCTTAGAAGAGGAAGAGAGAAAGTGAGGAAGAGAAAGGGAGACAGCAGAGAGATGGAGGGAGAAGTAGAAGAAAAGATGAACAAGAGAGAAAGAGCAGATGAGAGGCGGCCAGGCCTGGGAAGGGAAGGCGGGGGGTGAGGGTTTGGGCAGAAGAAGAGGAGGCGGAGGAGGCCAAGAGGCATGGAGGTGGTGGTGGAGGAGGAGGAGGGTGAATCCAAGCTGACCTCTGTGTCTGTGTGTGTTGTTGTGTGTCTCAGTGGGTTTCCTCTGCCCTGGCGCCAGCTGGAAATGCCTCCACTAAGCAGAGGCAGTACACACATCATCCTCCATTCACCCCCATTCAGTCCCCTTTGATGAAAGTAACACTATACATGCCCACTGCGCCTCACAGATCCTATCAAGCTGCTGTTTAAAGGGCGGGAGCGAGAGCCGGGGCAGCTGATCATAACTTATCGAGTGTTCGAACGCACTGTCATCCAGTTTCGCTGCCCTGCGGAGCAAATAAAAGTGAGGACAATTGAGGAGGTTTTGTAATTGGAGTGATGTTGTTGTTACAGTGGTGGATGTTTCATGAGGTACGCTGCCACCTAGGGGTCATCTCCCATGGTTGCAGAGAGGAATGTGGTCTCCCCTCTGCTTATTTTGAACCACTAGTTTGATCAGAATTTAAGTGGATTATGTTTCCTTTAAAGCCTTTAAAGTCACTTAAAAGCTG